TATTTATTTACATCTTTTGCATTGCAATAAAAAAAGAACAATTCAGCCTTTTCTCGCGTTAGAATATTCTGTTTCTCTTTCTATCTCTCGTCCGGAAAGTTGTGACATTTCACTGAAAACGCTGCATCTTTATTTTGCATGCGACAAAATAAAGATTCCAACACGATTTCACGAACGTCGAAGATTATTTCATGTGTGACAATTTTTTCTCTTTCTCTTTTCACAGTAAAAATAGCAACTAGCGATTAGTACAAAAAGTACAATGCCTGTGATTGCTTGAGATCACGTCCTTGTTGCGTGCATAATTATTATACGATACAATAATATAAGAGCTGGAATCGGCAGCGTTTAGCATTTATTCCCCATTAACTCTTGGATGCATAAGACTTTTTTCAGATTTTATGTAATATTTTAATATCTTCAATTTCCATTTTCTAGATAATTTCTCTAAATTAGATTTTAAAATTATCGGTATTATTTTTCTATTTGAATTTTCACAGTACTTTCCATTAGAAGAAAGCTACATGCATCCGAGAATTAATGCTGGAAGAATCGGGATTGACGATATGTCCTGAAAAAAATATAATTTTGAGGAATATCGTAGAGATCCTGATTTTTAAGAAAATCGCAAGTATCTATTTTTGCAGTAACAAGAAATTATACGGTTAAAAAATAAGTAAATTTGACATAGATCATTATGAGAACAATTCTTGCGATATAAAAATACAAAAGAATTCGAGATGCGACATGGCAAGATGCAATTTTTTATCTCCTTTGTATTTTTGACATTTCAATATCGAATTCTATGATTTTATCCGACAAGATGCACTAAATAATAATTATTGCAATACATTTGCAATAATTTTGTAAAATATGTGTTTGCAGTTTTAGACAAATCTATAGAATCAAATATTTTTAATATATAGAATTGTTTTCCCTACACATATAAAACAAGAAAATTTATGATAGCAATTTTTCAATTTAATATTATATGCGACACACAAAATCGTACCAATTAATTTTTGTATTTCTTGATCTTCCTTAAACTGAGTGTAAATTAATATTAAGAAATAAGCGCAAAAAAGACGTTATTTTTTAAATCTTTTTGTATAAAATTATTTTATAATTAATAACACTTTTTCATTGTTATTTATTTGCAATCGTTCGTGATTGATCCGAACCAGATTTTAGAAAGAATCTCAAAATTATATAAAAAAATGAATTTAAGAAAAATTCATTTTTCATTCATTTTTTACTAAATATTTGAGAAAAAATTTTCATTTACACAAACTGATGCAAATATTTTATAATTTGTTTTTTTACATATACGCTACTTATATTGCCATATTTATTATTCAACCAATATATATGTATATATATATATATATATATATATACATACATATATGTATCTTGTCTATAGAACGATAAAAAATCTAGAATGTCTCTCTTGTCTTTGTTCTCTTTCTAATTACAAATCGATTTCGCGGTAAGAACCGGTACCTATGTTCCTAAATGCGAATGACATGCGATACAGTTACTATAAATGCATAAATAATGTGATCCATGTACTGATGTATACATAATTATATCCAAAAATACGTGAATTGTTTACGAGGGATTTTTACGAACGCGAATAACGAAAAATTAACAAAAAAATCTAAAAAAAAAAAAAAGGAATTGGAAAAATGTTTCTTCCTCTTTTTTTTCACGAGAAGAACACGATGAGACATAAAGTATTTAGGAAAGTATCGTAGGAAAGTGTGACAATTTATTTGATAAAAGTGTCCATTACATGAGATTTTAATCGCATCGCTCTTAGAGAGATAAGATCTTATCTACGAAAGTAAACCTACACGCACGATCGTTAATAATATCGAATACGACTCCCAATGATCGTGAAATTCTGTAATCACGCGAAATCCTCTCCCACGTCGTTTGGAGAGTACTTTGGATACAAGACAAGAAAAAAAAAAAAAAAAGGGAAAAAATTACTTAATTAACTCGGTCGCGAGAGCCCCGATTCTCGGATGATTAGGAACACAATTGTTTTCTTTGTACCTCCTGACACTTGGAGAGATTGAACACAGAAACGCAGACAATCGAACTTTCTTCCTTTCTGTTGCCTCTTGCACCTGGCAGAAATGACGCGACATGACGATATAAGTAACTCACCGAGAGAAGTAAAATGACGGACGATTACAGCCGAAGAGGGAAAGAGAAGCTTCACCGACTCTCAAACATACACACGTACACACATACATACACATATGACGACGATAACGACTCTTATTCGTGTCAATGACTAAATAAATGTGCAAATAGCCTTCTCTTGCGCCGAGTTCTTTTTTTTCATTCTATCTTCTACGTTTTTAAAAAAGCCGTCTAAGGAATCGAGAAGTTCAATGATTCGGTTGAAAAAATTTGGCACGATTAGCTGTGAAAAAATATCATCGTACTGTTTTCTCTCTATAACTTCGTTTTTTCTTCGTCCTCTTCTCTTTTGCTAGGATATCGTACAACTGTGTTTATTCCACGCTGCGTTTATTTTATTTTCCTGTAATATCGCCTCGCGCACGTATTCGCATATAATATTCTCTAACAATACAGTCGACATTACTATACTGATAATGAATAAAATACTCTTCAGTAGTATAAACGCGATGTCTTCTCTCTTGTGACATTACGATATTTTTTTTTATTTTTCACTTTTTTTCTTCTTTCATTTTTTAGAAATCCTAGCGAACTTTCGACAAGGTCGTCAATCACGAAAGTCACCAAATCAGTACGATTAATACGCAGTTTTAAAAGTTCGATACTTTTCATCATACATTCTTGAAAAGCTGCAGACTTTTTTGGTCAGAGTGAATTTATACAAATTATGACAGAACACTTGATTCATGTTTAAGTTAGAATTTCAAATCTATGTAAGAAAAGACGCTTTGTAGTCAATTATAAATTTGGAAAAAATCGTGATAAAATATATCATGAAAATATTTTGCGGTAAGCCTGTGTTTAAAAAAAAAAACAGCATTAATTATCGCGGCTTTTAAGAATGCATGATAATTTGACAATTAAATCGTGTTTACATCATGTCGTACTCCCGCGGTACAATCGACGTCCACAAGGAAAACTCGGCAGAATTTTGCGTAATAAACTGATTCTCCCTGAGTGGTGATAAGCTATTCTGTAGGTTTGGTGTTTTCATGTCCACCTCCTGTATCTCGCTACCCTCCTCTTGCGCCTTTTTCTCTCTCTCTCTTTCTTTATCGTCGCAAATATTATACAATATTACCTCTTTTTTATATCGTACAGTGTTTAAGCCTAGACTTCCTTAATTAAGAGTTTTCTCTTTCGCTTAAAAATCCCGTGTCTCTAATCACTAATCGGACTTACAAATTTTTTTATTCGAAAGTATAATCGCGATTCCCTTATTTTATCTTATTATCCCTTAACCACCTCTTAAAAACGTGTTCGGGTTGAGATGCTAAAATACTTTACGTAAAATATATACTTGTTTTTTTTTCTTTTGTAAGAGGAAGGAAAAAAAATGTGACATCTCGATATCTCGGATTTAGAACACATCGGATTTACGATAATGATAAAGAACACAATACGGTAATAATGTCAGTCGATCTCTAATTCTTAGAAATTTTCGCGGGCAGTTTTTTTCTCATCTTTGCCGTTAAATCGGCAAAAAATAAAAAACAAAGACATCGTAAAGGTGGTTTAAGGGAAAAAAGCTTCAGTTTTGTACGATGAATTCGAATATACGTATGTGTATATCATATTTATAGTTCGTTCAACTAGTATCCTTTGCGAGGCTGAGAAATCTCGTACTATGCTCGTAAACCACGGTGCAAAAATAAAGTGACAGCATAAAACGTATCATCCTGCGAGTGTCAGTAAATCTCTCTCCGCTTGCTTGACGTTTCTTCCAAATACTTATGCCATGTTCCGATTTTTCAGAGCGAATTATCGGGCCAATCGCGGACGATTCTTGATGCCAATACCTTCTTTTCTTCTTTCTTTTCTCTTACAACCGCGTCGTTTTTTACGTCGTTGCATGTCATTTTGTGATTTTTGCATATGTGTATCACATGCAATTTTTTTTCCTCGTCGACTTATCAAAAAACACATGCTACTTTGTATTATATATCGTAGCCCTTGAGCGAAAAACCTTATATATTCTCTTACAAAATCTTATTTTCTAAAAATGTTCTCTACCGTCCAGTACTTTTTGATTTCTTTTTGCGATTTGCACGCATTGCTCGCTCTCGGAGAAATTATAAAACAATGAGAAAGTGAATAGAAAAATTTTTAACGCTATTTTCACCAAAAACGCAGCACAAAACGGATCAACTTCAATTCCCATATACAAGCATATACATTGTTTTTTCTTTTTTTTAAAGCAATCGTAACGTAATTTCGCTCTTATACGATCGTTTTTGTTCCATACTCTACTTACAGAATTACAGCCGAATGTCCGTATGTTAGCGATGCGTCGTATTGCGATTTTGTCTATTTTATGAATCAACTATATATACTCGTAAAATGACGAAAAATCACTCCTCCAGTTCACTCCGTTCTTTCATTTTACTCTTACTTCTATCGCTCTTGGGGCGAAAAAGCGAACGAAGAACAGAGCGCGTAATTTTTTTATTCTAATCCCGCACATATGTTATTAGAAGAAAAAAATGCAGATCGAGGGAAGACTTTGTAATAAGAATAGTGTTTGGTCCTGACGATTTCACAATCGGACAATCGACTGTACTCGCGTATCGCGACTCAGATACATACACATATGAATACATATATAAAATGTGTATCGCAAGTATTCACAAGTTTTTGCGTTACCAAGATTGTGCCGTGGTTCGATCTCGTTACTCGTTACATCCTCAAATAATATTTTAATTATTTTAACCACAAGATTTCTTGATCAGTTTTATATAATAATAAAAAAATAAAAAATAAAAAAAATAAAAAAAAATAAAAAAAACCGATTTATTACAAAAAGAGAAAATCGTATTTTTTTCATTATAAAATCAAACTCAAATTGTTGCATGTATATATTTCGAAATATCGTAATTACTATAGAATATTATTTTTATATACAAACTCTGACATGTGCAGAATTCATTAATTCAAGTCATTTAATATTTTGCAATGATCAGACTTTAATATGAATTAATTTTATTATATAGACAATAGTGAAAACTTAAAATATGTTTTCTGTATGTATTTAAAAACACCAATATTATTGAGCCTAGACTTATATATTGTCATTAAAATGCAATTAGATAATTATTAACTAAATAATAAATCATTGAAATAAAAGTGTTTCTAATTCATAGATCAAACGATGGCACATTTGCATTTCTTTGAGGATTTGCGCAGCGATGCTGATGAGAAGTGATATCGATGAAATTCATCGAAAAATTATGAATGAAAATGAAATGAGAGAGCAAATGAGATGTTTAAACAAAACGATCATGCGTTCGCTAGAGAATGTCGAATTGCGATCAACCTACTTCACAGCTCTTGTTGGCGAAAGGCAGTGCTCGTCTTGTACATTTGAATATTCTCCGTTTTTCTTTATGCGTAAGATTAGAATATACATTAAATATTAGCTTTGAAATAGGTTGCACTCAATATCATCATTGTCGTATAATACAAGTGCTGCGATACATCTCAATGGTGGTGCGCTAAAGAAATATAGCTGTCTTAATAAGCATATCAAGCTCTCAAGTTATAGAATAGAAATTTGTGTATATTAAATTCAAATTATTGGATGCAATCAAACGTATGACAAATCTGGATACGACAAACGTATCGAAGTAGATTGATAACATGATTTTTTTTCTTGTATTTTTTGCAAAATTCTTGTGATTTTGAATTCTTGTATTTTTTGCGTATGTGAAAAATCCCACACGTATCCTTTTATCGCACCACCAGAAATGTACACAGCTTTTACCGTCGATTAGAGAATGTACACTTACTGTATTATTGCTATTTAACGCGTTAGATTAACTTACAATCTAAGATTTGTACATCTGTGGATTTGCTGTTCACATATGATGATGCCTACAAAGAGAGATAAAGATGTCTCAAATGTATGCCTAACATGATTAAAGAAATGTATGTCTAACGTGATTAAAAAAATTTAATTGAGTAAAATTTCTGTGAGAATCAAATTCTAATAATAAATTTTAATAAATTTTATGGAAAATTTGTCTTTAGATTTTCAAAGAAATCTAGAGACTAATCTTCCTAACTGCTGCTTCGGTTTTTAAATTGCATTTTTTGTTATATAATTATAAATTTTAATCGAGCCTCTAAATATATTCCGACAGTTGCAATGTATATAATAACTTGTATAAAGTTATGCAATATAAAAGTACAAGTTAAAACAAAGTAATAAAAGAATGATATTAAATATATCTGATTGAATGAATACGTGAACACACTATCTTTTAATGAGATCCACCATCTCTATCAAATACGTGCAAAGATTAACTTTGTACAGTGCATGACTGAATAATATTATATAACAATTTTATCTCGTGGAAAGATACAAAGAGATATAAATCGTCTATATGTCTATAGATTGTAAAATGCAATGGACATCACTAGAATGACATTTGTCATAAAGTAAGAAAATGATGAAACGTGGCATAGAAAATGTATATGATGTATATACATATGAAATGTCAGTCAATATCTCGCGAAGAAGCGCAGTTAGGTTTCTCTTGCAATAGGATTGGCTTCTTTGACATTCGACAATATCATATATACGCGGCAACGAGAATCGTGTTTTAATAATTAGATATGCTGCTGCCACATTGTATTTGTATCTACCTTCAGCTGGGTTTACCCGGTGGCCCGTGGCTGGTCGGCGAAGGTCCGTGAGGATGGAGATTGTGAACACTGCCCACTTGATTGCCGGTGAGACTGGACATGGTGGGTTGATACATCGACGGCATATAATTGCTCGACGACTGCGACGCCGACCTAGCGATTAATAATTAATTAATAAATAGTAATTAATTATAAATAATCATATATTAATAATAAATATATTAATTAATAATATATAATACATTATGTGTTTAAAAGTATGAAATAGCGCAGATGACCAAAATGAAACACTATTTTATTTACCTCGGCACTCCGCGTAGCGGATCCGGCGTGACAGACGAATTTCGCACAACGCCGGAAGTATTCGCCGGCGCCGGAGACACTATGTTGCTTGGCTGACCTTGAAGGTATCCAGCTCCAGCTGGACTATGCCTATTTCATTGAGAAGTAAATGTTTGAATTATATTAAGAATGTTTGAATTATATTAAGAATGTTTCAATCATATTAAGAATATTTCGCGAAGAACGGATGTGATACCTGATTGTTGGGCTTGGTTGCGGCGCGACCAATGATCCACGATGCTGATACTGGGAGAGAGAGGCCGCCGCAGGTGGGGAGGGATCCGGCGGCAAACCGTTTTCCAACGTCGTCGGATGAGCACTGGAACTGGAGTGAGGCATGTACGTGTTATTCACTCGCGGTTCGCGACTCGATCTAGGTACTGGAGCCGGGGCGCCAGGCGGCACTTCCGAGTGAGAGACATTAGGATGAGACGGATTCACCGTTGGATGTATATTATTCACTGAAAATAAAATTAAGGTATACAAACACTGCAAATGTGTTGTATTTCATATCGATAAGATACAAAAGATATGAAATGGCCAATCTAACTAACCTGGATGTGAACTAGGTTGAGTTGTCAACGGAATAGCGAGTCTAGCATTCACAGCCAATAAATGGTCTCTCCTCTGAAGGAGATTATTTACATGTTCCTCTAGCCTAAGATTTTCAGCTCTCAACTGATGAAGGCAGGAAAGCAGGGATGCAACTGCAACAGATTTCAATAATGTTGCTGGTTTAGTCTACTTATAAGTGTAAGGACACATATTTAACATCAAAAGATCAAAGCACGCAGAAATGTCAAATTTAAAAAAATCATTGTATATAAAGAACAGAAAAGACAATTTCGTTACAAGACAAACGTATAATAAAAAGCGTGTCCATGCAGGTTTTTTCTTATAGAAAATAATTCTTCGTAGAAAAAAAAAGCGCGAACTTCGTCACTCACTAAACCCATGCAATCGCGTGAGTTTTTTTTGTCTCGCTATATACTCACTATCAAAATGTTGAGCTTGTTCCATTAGAAATTGACTTCCCTGCTCCCACTGTCTTTCGAGAAGTTGATCCAGTGTCTGTGGAATTGCTCCACCACCTAGAGCCCCACTAGTACCAGCTATAGGATTCATACTACTTCCACTCGAGAAGACCGAAGAAAACGAAGTTGGCGGTCCACCTGGTTGGCTAGACCGTATCTATTCATAAATTACATCGAATATATTGTAAAGTGTAATAAGATACAGGTGTCTTAAATTTAATGATAATTTTCGATGACATACAGATGCAATTACTCTACTGTGCAGCTGCGGTCCAATCAAGTTTGTATTGGAGTTACTCGCTTCTGTAAAAATAGAATGGGCTTCAAGCTCCTGCGTAAGTGTATCCGACATCTTTTGCGCCATCGTTGAAGTGGGATTCAACTGATTTCCTAGCATATGCGGTGCACTAACTCCATTTTGAAATCTAAAGAAAATAGAAAATATGTCAGCTGTATCCTGCATGTTTGATGGACAAATTCTTTGGCTCTTTGTTAGCAAATCTTACAATTTTACGTTGTTCTCTTCCTTTATTGTAGTAAGGGTGGTCGGTGTAGACGATGCAGATGGAATAGGTGTGGACACAGCAGCTTTCCTCTTTCGTTTACTGGTAGTACTGCTCATACTTTCGGATCCAGGACTACTAGGCGGTGACTCCTTGACTGTCGGTCCCATAATGTTCGATGGGCCTGTGCCACTTATACTACTGAAGTGTCCAATAGTAGCTGACGCAGGGCCCTGAATGATTGATGTTACCGAGGTCACTGGAGGCACTGTGACGGCGGGCGGAGGAGTTTGATGGTTGTTCCTCGCCCCCCTCTTAGACGTCGCCACAACTGCAGTGCTGGATATGGAAGTTACGACTGACGAGGCTGTAGTCTGTGATTGCGGCAGTGATGCTTGGCTATTGGACGAGCCACGCTTCGGTTTGCGAGACTTCTCTTGCTTATCCGACGATTGGGAACTGAAAAGTAACATGTTTCAAATGTTTAGTGTGATCGCAATCAAGTCACAGTGCAAGATTCATTCATTTTCCCTATTAATAGAAACTATTAATTATTTTACACACGCAATGTGACAGAATATTAATATTGACAGCGCACAATAATTAAATTTTGAAAGTTTTGACATATGATTAGAAATTATATATGTATATTATTATATTATATATATATATATTATTATATAATATATATATATATTTATTTATTTTATTATATTATATATATCATGTTATATAATATAATATATTATATAATATATAATTATATTATATACATAAATGTAATTATATGATATTTGAATAAATTATGGTTTCCAATGACACATAATAAAGCAGTAGGATAACGCACACTGAGAAATACCGCGATGAAGTGCCATTTACAGCGTCACGTTACACCTTTTCGTCGCTCGTTGCCTTTGAGGCACCTCGCCGAGGCGAAAACAAACATAACCTTGATATCTCTTATCCGCCACAATTCGCGAGATTCCGCGTTAACAGAGTCACGAGAGGATTCCTCGAGGTTCCACCTCGCCTCCTCGTTCAGGACGCGGTGACGCGCGATTATTGTTGCGACCGTTCCGCGATGCAATTATTATGCAGCGCGCGCCGAATGACCTCGAGTGAACTATTGTGCTCAATACATAGGCAGACTACTGTTATAAACACACTCCATTCTTCACTTGGCACTTCTCTCGTTCGACGTCGTCCTCGTCGCTCGCGCTTCCACGAGTCGAGTTCGAACGTCACCTTGGAGCCGCGACGCAGCACTTCTTCTCCCGACCGGATGGAGATCTTTTTTTTCCCCCTCTCGGAAAAATCGAACGCGCTCGATCGGGGAAGAGGTTAGAACCAGCCACCTTGTTTACCAGTCGCGCCCGCCATTTTGAAAACGGTCCACGACCGATACGCACTCGCATACGCCTTAGACTTCCTCGGGTGCACCTGCACTCGCGCCAACTCGATTGCATTTCACCGCGTTTCGCTGGTGATACTTGATTTTTTTATTTCTTTTCCAAATGGAAAAATTTTCCATAATACACTACTAATTAGAATAATGCTTTTCCTCGTTAATTAATTATCGAAAACTGGGTCTTATAATTGTGACAGAATTTTGACAGCCGCGTTGTAGCCAGAATAGATGTATAATTTTATAATAATTATTATTATTATAAAATTATATATTTATTATTATAAAAAATATATTATTATTATAAATTATATATTCTATAAACTTATTTATAATTAATTTTTTTTTCTCATGAATATTCCAATTTAATCAAAGGTGAATTAATTGGATGTAATCTCTTCCTGGAAATTCCTCTGAATTTCACACGAATTTTCAGAAAGAGATTACATCCAATTAATTCACCTTTGATTAAATTGGAATATTCATGAGAAACAAAATTAATTATAAATAAGTTTATAGAATATATAATTTTATAATAATAATAATTATTATAAAATTATACATTTATTCTGGTTACAACGCGGCTGTCAAAATTCTGTCATAATTATAAGAGCCAGTTTTCGATGGCGAAATAATCCTCTTAATTTTCCTCGATTCTTAATTCTCTTGGAGGAAACTTACCGGGACCGCTTTGGCGGGATTTCCTCGGTGGCGAACCTCTCGGCGGTCACCATCGCGCTGGATCTTGGCTCTGTGTTCGCGGCCGTGGTGATGATGCTCTGCTGCACCTGTTGATAAATGGTCGGCGCGCTGGTCACCACACTCTGGACCGTGTTGGCGAGCGAGGTGGCTGTCAGCGGTACCGAGACGACGATGCTGTTCGACGTGGTCGTCGGCGACTGGGTGACGACCGAGGACGACTGAGACTGCGTCACCGTCATTATCACAGGTGTAGTTGTTGCCTCTGTAGCAACTGGGGTGCTCGACGATGACTGGATTGGGCTATCTATTTTTGGAATCTGCAATTGTGGAGATTTTGATGATTAAAATGCTGCATTTATTGGATTTATATATATGTAGAGCTGTAGAAATATATAGCTCTTGTCACACATTTATATTTCAATTGTTAGTTCAAGTTTTTTTTATGGACGAGTAACTGAAATTCAAGACGTGATTAGAGGAAACTTTCCCGTCCACTTAATCGACGATGATTAAGTCAATTGCCTGTGGCAAAAAATTTCAAATTCCTGAATTCATCGCTTCTTAATTTTATCTCTCTTTCCATGTGTCAAAAAATAATGAAAATTAATGATTCTTATTATGAATAGAATACTGCGAGTATTACTGATTTGTTGTCGATTAAGTTGATTCAAGTTTGATCTATAAATATGTATAAAGGGAGACAAATACATTAAACATTGAAAATGGACAATGTAATATAACTATATTCATTACTTGGATTTTCACGAAATGGCTCGGTCTAATTAAAATATGTCTTATAATTCTTCCTCCTCTTGTCATCTCCTGAACATAAACGAATTTTGTTTATAGATTTGTACGCACATTTGCAGCACTTGTGAAATTTTTCGATTGTGATGATTATTTTATATCATTATACAATTGATTAAATTCTCGACTGAAACGAAACTAATATTTGTAATCAGAACAATATTTTTATGTATTATGTATTATATATATAAAAATTCGAAACAAAAATATTCAACAGATATCTGTAATATATAAGAAATAAGAAGCAGTAAATCTTTAACTATTTTTAAAACTATTACATATCTGACATAATTTTCTACACAGTTTCGAATTTTCTGTTCTTTTTTTACTCATTCCTCTGTTCCTCCTCCTACACTTAAAAATTTCATAACATTATTAATACTTGAAAGTTTAACGTAAAATTTTAACTATGCATATATGAATATTCTAGAGATAGCTAAGAAAATTGAAAAATATTCATTCTTCTACATTTTTAAGTCAGATTATTTCTTTAAACTCATTGTTCTAAACCAGAAACAATTATCCTAGATAATTATCCACAAGTTGCGAGTGAACTTTGCTAAGTGTACATTTAATGTTGCATGTGAATATTGTAACATGTCAAACGATTGACATCAGTTATTACTATTTTTGAGAATTATATCTATATTTTTGTTTGTAACGTGTTTCAATTGTTAATTCAACATCAAAACTCTAGCATCATCTTCAAGTTTTAAAACATAATTTAAATATTTACACAATTTATTATTACAAAACAGATTTTAATGTCAGGATTTAATCGAATTTTTCAATGAGTTTAAAGTAACTGAAAAAATTTATATATTATATATATATCATATAATAAATGTTACATAATATATATATATATATATATATATATAAAATATATTTTTATATTATATTATATATATTATGCTTTGTATAGATTTAAGGCTTTTATACCTTCTTTGACTTTTCGGGTTCTGTCGTTGTACTTAAACTCGTAGCTTCGGTGATCGTTGGCTGCACATTGTTGCTCGGGACGGTCTGCTGCACGACAGTGCTAACAGCCACCACGACTGATCCGCTCGTCTCCGAGCTGACCGACTGATTCGAGTTCTCGCTTCCTAGGACAGTCGGCGTACGCGCTCCGGTCTTCCTCTTCTTGCTGGTGTGGCTCGACGTCTTATTGGAGGTCGACGAGTTGGACTTTCCCTGGCCGCCGATGCTCTTGTGCGCCGCGTTCGAGTTGCCGCTGCTGCTCGTCTTCATCGCGGCGGCTACCGCCGTCGTGGCGACGGTGGTAACGGTGCCGGTGGTGCCGTCGTGTCCAAACACGCTCTCCGACTGCGTCACTATTGTCTCTACAAAGTTAGATGTCGTGAACTTGCTGGAACTCGTGGAATTATCCTTGGGCGTATTACGACCGCTACCGCCGCTCTTATCGTCCGCGATGCCATTTATCTCTAAACTGGGACTAGCATTGGATTTACTCTTAGAATTCGCGGTGGACTTGGAGCTCAGGCTCTTCCGTTTGCCGCTCGACGATTTGATCGGCGTCTCCGCCTCCTTCTCCGGCGACGAGTCCGACGAACCGTTGTCGGCGGGTATCGGCTTGTACGGCGGTATCGTCTTCACGTTTCCGCCCTTTTTCTGAAAATTATATTATATAATTATATTATACAATAATATAAATAATGAATAATAATAAATAATATATAGTAATTATGTATTATATTATATTAGCTGATGAATTTTCAAGGGAACCGTAATTATCAAGTGTATAAATTATTCACCAATTTGGAATAATGGTGCTGGCAATATCCGCAATATTTGACGTTATCGAGATAGTTGCCAGCTTCCTCGCAAAGTAAGCCCAGAGCTTGTGCACAAGTTACATGAAATTGCTGTCTGCAGCCTGTCTTATTACACTGCATGCAGGCTCCTACGTTTGCTCTGCTACCTCTACCTTGTTCCTCACAAATGTAGCATGTCTGTATAATGTATAATGAAATATAGATTTCTTTTCTTTTGCTATATCTGACATAAAAACGAATTTTTTACTTTGCTATATAAATTAATATACATATTAATGTAATACTAAGCACAATGAAATAAGATTTCTTTTTCTTTAGCCATATCTGATATAAAAACAAACTTTTTACCTTGCTGAATCTTTCTGAAGGAATAAGATGCAATATAATTGGCTCCATTGTAGTTACGTTACCAAATCGAACTTCTGGGATGTATAGTGCACACACAACATGCGCCCATCCAGCTTGATCTGTTCTCTTAAGAGCTCCATCTCGACTCGGACATAACTCACAGCGCTATAAAAGTCACATCAATATAAATTTATACTCTGTCACAATAAATAAAAGAATATCGATTATCTAATCCATTGTAAGAAAATTAAGGACACATCAATATAAATTAATACATCATAATAAATAAATAAATATAGAGCATCCATCGTAAGGGAAAGATCTATACGTACCACCCGAGCACTACGTTCTTGTGACTCACACTTCCTGCAATACCACGGACCTGTTGGTACAGTGACAATGCCGTAGCAAGCTGCAAGAAATCGTAACACTTTTGTTACAATCAGAATAAAATGACTCGCTCCAGGAGGGTTAAGAGCACACAAGTACCTTGGTGTACAGCAACAGTGCAGCCCTGTCCATCGCAGTACACCAGCGGATTCTCTGTCCAACCCCTCTCGTCAGAACACACGCAGCACCCTCCGAGCATCTCCTTCATGCTGTGCCCCAAGCAATTCGGAAGACGAGACTAGCATGAGGAGCTAGGCGTGGGACCGCGAGTATTGGCTACGTGAAGCTGACAGACGAGTCTCGTGCGACTCGCACGATCGCATCTTGGCGACGAGCGCGTCGTCAACCCGGCGACGACACCACTATCTCTTTCTCTCTCTCTCTTTCTCACTCTATTCTTCCTTCTTTCGGTCTCCTTCTGGATGACAGCTCCTGTCACCGGCACCGCGCTCCCACCTCCTCGCGCACGACGAGGACCACCACGAGGCTAGATACTCTAGATCGAGTGTACAAGCGACGAGGAAGAGGTAGAGGAAGGATTTTTCTCTCCCGCAAGCGCGGAATCACGCTACCGCGAGCGAACACGCGGAGTCGTGCTTTCTCTCTCTTTCTTTCTTTTTCTTGCGCCGAAATGGAGCTCGCCGCGAGCGGATCGCGAAATAATTGATGTGTCGCCGACGATGACAATGGCGCGGGTACGCACGTGTGAATTCTACGAGGGACACGCTCGAAACGTGGTCGGACGGTTTGTGTTATTTACGACGGCGCTCTATTTGTTTCGTTGGGCGGCCATCTTATTTTTTGCCTGTCGCGCGCGAACCACGCACGCGCAGCAGATTTGACAGGCGCGCTCGCATGACGCGACGCGTCTTCGCGCGCGATTGGTCGCCCCTGACAACCAATGCAAAGTCGTGTTTCTTAGGGACAAAAATTTTCAAATAAGTCGTGAATGAATATATCGAATTTTAATAATAAAATGTAAATAAAATTAATGAACAAATATTCTCTCTGTATTTGAATAATAAATTAAAGTGACGAATTGAGGCCAACTAACGAACAACATTAAAAAACAAATTAAATTAATATATAAAACGATTTTAATGTTCAAAATTCACGTATTTTAAAATTGTACAAACGTTTCTATCTTATAAATTATTACTTATTTTTTCTGTCACAACTGTCAAACGAATCGCGGTGGTCGCTCTCAGGTTTCTCTCTGCTCTGAATACTCTTGCAAGAGCTTGGACAAACAGAAATCTCCTAGGACTTTTTTCCGGAATGCAAGAGAGATTTGCATCTAAATTGTTCGTGCTTCGTGACTGTTCACGCTTTCCCTATATGTGGCACCACTGCCGATGGATGCAAGAACATTTTGATTTATGGCTGCAGTGCGAATCGAGACGTAATCGAAACCTCGAGAGCTTCGAATCGAGAGTGCATCACGAAATACACTCTCACAAATATTTAAACGTGATAAAGAATTCCCCGACGATAATTAATGAACAGCGAGACGACGCAGTTTACACAAAGATAATATTATAGCATAATTACAAGAGAGACGTTATTGTTGAAGAAAGATCACGCAAAGCGATCGATTATTATTATAACGAAACGTCAGTCTGTGTCAATCAGCGAGAAAGAGCCTCACGTTTCCGATTTGCTTCATCTATCATCTTGTAAGTAATTCAATTTCTTCATTTAATTATCACAAAGGTAAATAATAAATAAAATGCTAATATTTATTCCGTAATTTTTTTCATGATTTTAGTTTTAAAAAACAATATTTTAATATTTCTTTTATTCCGTTGAGGAATTTTTTTTCTTGAACTAGATTTTACTTATTTCGCATTTATATATAAGTTCGATATCTTTTAACAATTAATGAAGAAACGATAATTATACTATCATTTATATTAACATTTCGTGATTTCATCCATTCGGAATATTTAGAAATAAAACCTTTCATATTTATAATATTTTATTGAAAAAAATAATACTCATATGTAGATCCAGAAATTATATATAGAAAGGAATGCACATATATAGAATAAAAAGATGTTTTTTTTTGTTCTTGTCAAATCATATTCTTGTATTGTTTTTATATAGAGCTATTATGTATATTATTTCTATAGTTTTTATAGCATTCTTATAGACAGAATTTCTTATGTCAAGTCTTTCTAATCGCTAAAAAAAATTTTGTCGTTCGAAATTTAATTATCAGAGTTAAATAATTTAAGAGCGCGAGTTTTATAATAACGCGATTTATATAATTCTTTTGTGCGATTTATCATTTTTATAGAAATGATGCGAGAATGGATGCACAAGATAATTCGTCGAGGTTCGTCTCACTATATATATATATATATATTCTTGTGACCTTGTGCAATTCTGACGCATAAATAATGACACGCAAGAGATGTAACTCTGTCTGGTTTTTCGTATTCTTATCGCATATTCAATATTGTATCGACATTATTATCGATATTATTTCATCTATAATTAGACTATATTAATAAATAAAAGGAATGTTGAAAAACGTAGCATAATATAAATTATACATATAACGCCATATTATTTGTTATGAATAAATATTGCAGAATGTTCCTAAAATATATCTGGCTAAATAGATCAGTGTATTCTACTAACTGATAAAAAATATCATAGTTCGTAAATATCTTCTTCTCAATATAAATATATACATATCAATTTTAACAAAAATTATTAAAATTATTCATGCTTAAAAATAGAGAGAAATAAAAATAGAACAGAGAGATTTTGTTAGAAATTCATGGCTGATAAGATAAACTAAAATAAATATTTGTTTCCGCATCAAATCACTCGTAAATAATATTCACATATTTTTTCCGCTAGAATATAATTTTTAATATTTAATACATATTTTTAATATTTTTACGTCAACGAAAAATTATATTCACAAACGTATATTCGTATGCTATTTTTTCATTAATATATGTAACTTGTAGAAAATATGATAGTAAAACTTAAGTCGAATATTTTTGGTACATCCTGTATAATTTTGTTATTAATGTAATTATATGATACAATACATAACATGGATATATTTTTCCATTTGCACATTCTTAATTGCACTTTGTTCAAAGGTCGATCTTGTCGTTTTGAAATGTATAATTTATTCCAATTAAATTTGATAACTTCGACGGAGAATGCTTGGTTTGCGTGTCTAATTATTTTTCAAGAGTTGTTCGTGTCATTGAAAAAATGCAAATAGCTCTACAAATCAGTCGAGAACAGACGAATGAATCGCATTCTCGTTGCAATCACATTGATTATGTATATTCAATAAATTGGAGTCAATGCTCTCACGATGATAACTAATATTGCTGCATAAACATGTGTCCAGAAAGAGAAAACGCAATACAGTGAGACCTTCAAGAGTGAATGTTATTATACGATACATTATCCTTGCATGTGTTTACGTATTATCAATGTGTGCATAAAACGTTGTATTATCAGGGCTGTATTTATCTACAAGCGCATTGGAAGTTCTCCAATTGCATTATATTAAGAAAAAGAGAATTACAACTTTGATACTCCTTAAATAAAACATACATTGAATGTACGTATATACATCTTAAAAAACATAAATAAATCCAGAAAGAAAGTCTATAAATTAAAAAAATAAGAAATTTAATTTAAAATTTCGTCATTAATTGTGTTATAAAATAATATAATTAATATAACAAAATTTAAAATAATTATAGACGTCGTGTATAAATGTTTATTCCTATATGTAAAATATATAATCTAAAAAATTATTTGTACATTTTTACACTATTATTACTATTAAATAATAAATTTCGTTATAATATGCTCGTTATTTGTGCATCTATCTAACTTAATTTATATTTTAGATAAATTATATCTAATCATATATATTTAGGGTCCCCTAAATATAATATGTATACAGGCTTGTATTCAGTTCCTTTTAACGAGCTTGTTTATCATCGATAATTTTAGTATACGAGGAACGGTCATCGTGCTAAGAGATCATTTTACAGATATGAGGTATTACCAGAATATTCTTCAGAATTTTAAAATAATATATTTAGTGTATTATCTCTTTAATATACGATAACATTAAAAATAATTAAGCGATAACAATAAAAATAATTATAAAAAAACTAATAAAATAAAAAGTTTTGATATATAAATACAAATAAATGTTTATGTAGGCAGATATGTATTTGCATTTTTAAAAATCAATCTGCTATCTAAAAGATCTTAAAATTAAATAAAAAAAATTAAGAACAAGTTTATTATGCCTAATTTCTGCATCTGGCTCTTATTAGCATATTTTTCTTATCTTTTATATTTATAGAAAAAAATTTTTAATTTTTAAATTATTTAAAAAATTTTTTAAATTTGTTTCCAATGTTACTTTATCAAAATTTTCTTATATGCTTATATAGAATAATATATGTATAATATATATGTAAAATGATATATAATAATATAATCATAAAATATAAATAAAATTATATTATAAAATATAAATAAAATATAGATATAATTATAAATAATATATATAAAAATTAAGATAAGATGTAAAAATTAAATGTAATATATGAAAATTTTATCGCGCGATAGAAAAGAATGTTTGAATTTTGATTTTCACTAGTATGCTAAAATCATTTAATTAATTTATTTGCGAGCATTGAATTTGCCATGTAATAAAGTATACACAATTGTTTGTTGAATTGCAACAGGAAAACACGTAATTTTATCCTACTTGCTATCTGTTAAAAAATGTACAGTATTTTTGAAGAGTTATATTTCTCATTTGTGTGATTAATATACTTTTAACAATTATTGTGTGTATATGTGTGTAATTGAGTATATATAGCCTCGAGAGACTTTTAAAAGATTAAGTGTAATTGACAACTTGAATAATAAATAAGCAATATTTCATAATTAGAAAGTTTTCAATATATATATATATAAATACAATGTGCAATTAAAAACAGAATTAGTTACATTTTAATTTTTTAATATAACATGATATGGCGTCATACTTCATCAATTTTTTACAATAGTTTTTAAGTTAATGAACCATTAGAGAACGGGCGTATTTTTTCGTAAACTTTTATAATTTGAAGTAAGAATTTTTATATCTTTATTATAGTGTTGTACTATGAAAAATAAGCGATCCTTATAGAGCCAAAATATTGGCTTCCTGTTCTCTAAAAGTTAATTTTGTTGAATTTTGTTTTTGAAACTCATACGATGTTGTTTTCCAGCAAAACTCGCGAAAGGATGTGTTATTATCAGCCTTGGGGCTCGATAGAGGATGGCCGGATAGAATTCGAAACTTTAACAGACGAGACCTTGCAGGGTGCTCTTGACGTGATAAGGAAGAGCTTCTGCGTCCATGAGTCGGTGTGTAAAGCCGTAGAGTTGATGTCTGAACCAGGGGCATCCGAGGAACTCATAGAACTTTGTCTAAACGCGGCCAAGGACGGTGTCACTGTAGTGGCTATCGATATTATCACGAACGAGGTTGTTGGCGTCTGCTTTAATAAACTTCAAGTGAGCAGACATCCTTTTTTCTTCAAGTTCCTATAAAACATTAATCTAATTAATATTATATTAATAATTAATATAAAACATTAAAAGATTTAAATTTATGACACATTTCACAATATTTTACTTTAACAGCAATTTAACTTTAATAACAACTTTTACTATGTATAATTATTTGTTCTTTATTTTTAATTAATACATTTTATTTTTAGGTATACAGTGACAGCTCGGAGAAGAGTTTCTTTGAGCAATTCCGCGACAATTGCAAATATGAGTCGTCCAAGTATTTGATGAACTTAATGATAGACGTGGACTCGAGGATAAATCTTTTCAAGCATTACAATGTCCATTGTATCCTCGAGCTCATGTTCTTGGCGACTCTTCCTGCCTATGGAAAACGAGGAATAGGTGAGTCGTTAATCGCCTCATCATTAGCGCTCGGCAAAGAACTGAGACGCGACAAAATCAAGAAGATACCCATCACGATAAATGGCAACAACGAGTTGACAAACGCCGACAAGGTGCCGACCTTGGCTTCCGCGATCATGACGTCCAGTTACTCGCAACGAATCGCCACAAAACTCCACTTCAATCAGTTGATTGAAGTTTCCTACGACGAGTTTGAATTCAATGGTAAAAAGTTTAGCGAGAAACTAGAAAAAGAGAAACAGAAAAAGTGCACCTTAGTGGCCAAGATAATACACGCAGTATAGTTGTTCATCGTGCAATTTTGGCGTTTCCGCAAACAAAAATTACAGATTTATGAACGACGTCTTTGCATTCTGACTATATCCCTAACTCTCACTATCAGATTTTCATGTTACACATTTAAAAAAATTATAATATAGTATATCAACATATAATATATAATAATATCCATTTATCATGTTTATATATATGTAATATAATTTCGTAAGTACATAGTAGATATAGTAAGATCTAATTTTATGTAAGCTTTCAAAGTTATATATATGCAATAGAAAAATTAAAGAAGCGCGTAAGTCATTCTTCTGCACCTTCAGAATGCATGGAACAGTCAATGAATGATTTATAATTTCACATTGTTTGTCGAAGAAATATCTTGTAGCAAAATAAACTAATAATGTCAGAGCGCAAACAACAGATATGCGTTTTTATTAAATGCCAAAAAGTTAATTAAACGGTTAATTAGATATTTGTTATCTCTTCAATATACTAACATACATGTACAAAATTGCATAATATCGCGTTCATTTTTATATGTCATTTACTTATTTTTTCTATCATTCTTTACTTTTAGTGCGTAAAAATATTCTTCTTAATAATATATATATTTTTTATAAAATATTATTTTAAATTAAAAACTCTTAGATAAATAATTAATATCATATATAACACTATATAAATTAGATTTGAAGGAATTTTTTATGCAAGATTCTAGTGCATGAATTAAGTAATTTATTTGATAGTTTCTTGTTATTTAGAAAAAGAAATATTCATATTTTGTATCTAATTTCGTAAACAACTTGCAATTAAAATATGCAATTAAAAAATTGAATTGTCTAAAATGTATAAATAATTTCTCTCTTTCTATGCGATCGAAAAATGTTGCTTTTTATAAAATATGCAACATGTTTAATAAAATATGCTATAAAATATGTTACATTTGCATGTAAATTCATGCAAATACATCACAGTGGATGGACAAATTGATTGCGCATTGATGTTACTTGAATAGGTCGCTAGAGTAATAACAATAATGCAGTAATAGAATTAGGATAATGTTCAAAACAGCTATTCCCTGACATCTCACATACACACACTACAAATGTAATCAAATGTGAAGAGGAAAAACTTGTCAGACACGAAGATCTCAATCACATGCAATGGCAATAACGTAAAATTAGTAAAATTAGCTATGTATATATCTTAAAAAATTACATAATGCTATACGTTATTTATAGAAAAATTATCGTTATTTACCGAAATCAATACAACGTCAATTTTACAAAGTGGGATAAAATATTCAAATATTTATAAAATTCGTTGAATCTAAAATTAGAATTTTTTCGATAATTCTGCAATTTTCTTTTTCTTATGAGTCTTTCCTCTAACTACTTCGTTACTTTGGACAGATCAATTATATTATTCACAATTTTTTCGTTGTATCATTCATATATCAACATCAATGTTATATCGAATATTATTTCATCAAGGAATAAATAAGTATTTTCGGTTAAAATGCAATATATAATTATATATTAATTATTAAGTAAAATGAAAAATTATAGAGTATGTAAAGAATTAATAAATCAGAATCTCGCTTCCGATTTCACGAGATAAGATACTTCTTCAATACGATAAAGAGTAATCAAAATGACAATGAGATGACAAGGCAATATGCTACAGTGACATGCTAGTCACGTAAGTGAACGGTTATCAAATGTTGTTACGATATAGTATCTGTGATACTATAGCAAACGGAACTGTACTGCAATGGGGAGTTTGCGATGCAATTTTTTATCCCGATTATTCCGCATACACAAAGAGCCGCACTCTGCCGGCAGAAGACATCGCTCGCGAATTAACTAGGTAAGACGTCAAGGTAGATTAGACATACTCGTTTGATGCTTCAAAGTGAAGACTGTTTTTGCCAATTAACTATATGTAATCTAAACAAAACAGAGAAAGCTAAACCTTCTCTATAAATTATAAATATGTAAATGGTACATTTATCAAATATTTGGATGTTCTGAGAGTTACAAATTTCGTATCGTGAATCGAATAAATAAGTGACTTCTTTTTTTATATCAAAAAAGTTTTAAATGTTAACAAAATATCTGCTCTATATTTTTTATGCATAGTGATGTCCATATTCTACCAATATACTATAAACGCTCGTAGTACACACAAATTTACGCTCCACTTAATCCTTGTGTCGTCGGGTTCGATACGATGCGAAATGTTGTGAGAAAAACCGGAAGGGGATGCGCAAGACAAGTGTAAACCCGGGAGTTTGTATCGATCAGCTTTTAGCGATGCCATATAGCCTTTCTTCCAGACGAAACTCAGATCAGATCAGCTATGCCAGTCTGTCTCGGCACTGATTCCACCGGCGCCATCGAATTCAGGATCCTCAGCAAAGACCGGATCGAGGATGCCATGATCGTGCAGGACGAATCGATGCGCCAGGAGTGCATCGCGATCGGCATGGGGATGTACGAGAATGATCCCGGTGCAGCCGAAGAGATGCAACTGGTCTTCAGGGAGGTCATCAAGGACGGGTGTACGGTGATCGCGGTCGATCGATCGGACCGCGTTGTCGGCGTGGCGTTCAACAAGTTACATGCAAGTAGAAACGTTACATCCCAGCAAACACAGTATATAAATGTTATATACTTAAGTATGTTACATGTAACGTATATGTTAGTTGTAATTTCCCACACTCATAGATGTAACATTTTTAATATTACATATATTACATTGTAGTTATATTGTCATTATATCCCAAGATAGCACTGACTTATCAATACGTCAATGTGCTATTTGGTATATAATTACAATATAACTACAATGTAATATATGTTATATTAAAATGTTACATCTATGAGTAGGAAATTACAACTAACATGGATGTTACATGTAACGTACACGTTATATTACCTGTTACTGGGACAGTATATAAATGTTATATACTTAAGTATGTTACATGTAACGTTATATGTTAGTTGTAATTTCCCACACTCATAGATGTAACATTTTTAATATTACATATATTACATTGTAGTTATATTGTCATTATATCCCAAGATAGCACTGACTTATCAATACGTCAATGTGCTATTTGGTATATAATTGCAATATAACTCCAATGTAATATATGTTATATTAAAAATGTTACATCTATGAGTGGGAAATTACAACTAACATGGATGTTACATGTAACGTACACGTTATATTACCTGTTATATTCCGTTTTATTATAGCAATGTAACAATTATATATCGGTGTTTGCTGGGATCAGTAGATCAGTTTCGATTAAATGCTCGACGTTCTCGAAAATAATTAGCCATCTCCGTCCATCTTTGATATTTTATATACACATATTTTATCTTTAATACGTCGATTAGATTTTATACACATTTTATATCTTCAGTATATATTAATAGTAATAAATACTCTGTGCTTGAAAGCTCCCTTTAATTATTCAAACTGATTGCGACGTAATAAAATATAAAACAAATTATAGTATTACTACTATTATTGCTAATACACTGAGAAAAATATAATGTTAATGAATTTGGAACATAATATTTTTTCATATTGACAAATATTTGTTTGACAGCCCGTGACCGCCGCATTTAGTTAGATTAAAAAAATTTTTTTTGGCTGAACATTATTTTTTTCTCAGTGTATGAAATAACAAATACGAGAATAAAATAAAATATGAATATAAAAATAAAATGTAAAATACACGTATTAAAGTATAAAGTTCAGGAGCTTGCTTATTATAGCTTGCACACAAAATATTAATTTTTTAAAATATTTTTAGGAGCCACGTAAACCTGGAGAAACGGATTCCTTCGCTCTTTTTGTAGAAAACAACATCAAACATCGTTCGTGCCGGGATCTGATTGAATTCCTCGACGATGTGAGTTTGTTACTTAAATCATTTTATACACGCTGCAATCAACAGTGTCAATATAAGTTTTTTTTTTTAAATTTCCTTGATATCTTAAAATTCTTTCGTAAATAAAGATAAGCTTTGCAGCTATCGCGACTTTTTGCGCGTGATAATTAAGCTTCAATTAAGCCATCTATATACATTATTTCGTTTAAAGAGATTTCACGTTTGTCTCAAGTAAAATAAAATAATTCTTGTGCAAAGCGATTTTATCTTATCGCATCGTTAATTGCGTTTGTACTTTAAAGTTTAAAAACTATAAAAGATCTAAAGTAGTCATTTGTTTTAAAATTCTAATAAATATATAAAAGACTTCAAAAATAATTCTTCATTAAATATAAAATTTCGAAGGAGAGTGTAAAAAAAGTTTCCGTAAAATATATAATTAAAAAAATTATATGCATCTATATTAATCGTTTATGAATTATTAGCAAAACGTAGCGCGTCTTTTTCTTTAATTACATAATTGAATGTAGACTCTATAATGTATAAGACTCTATGTTGTGTAATGTTAGTAAATCAGTAATTGAAAATTTATGATTTTTATATTTTATTTTATTTTTGTATTTTATTTTAATACTAATACGTCACAATCAGATTTAATAATTCAAGAGAGCTTTCAAGCATAGGATAAATCACGTTTTCTTTAATTACGTGATACAGTAGGCTTTTATAATCGTTTGATCTACAACATATTTATATAATAATTAACTTCAATAAACTTTTATCAAGAATTGTGTTGACAGATGGAATCAAGAGTAGATATCTACGAGAAGTACAACGCGCGCGGTGCCATGGAAATTTTCTATATAGGGACAGATCCAAAGTGTCAAGCACAAGGAATCGGCCGACAAATCACGGAGAAAAGCCTCGAAGTCGCTCGCGGATTGCGCACCAGGAGACTGAAGCAAATCTGCGTGGCCGACAAAATCGTTAACGAGCACGTACGACCGGAAGTAGCATTCTGCGTCGCTGCCTCGATATATAGTCAACGAATCATGAAAATACTAGACTTTGAGATTCTCGCCGAAATGCGATATGAAGATTATGTACGCGGTGGCAAGAAAATGTCGGACAGGATAGGTGATTTACACAAAACGGTCAAATTTGTCGCCCGCAAACTTTAACGATACCGATTTCTATATGCTTGAATTTTGAGTAAACGGAAGTCGATCGACTTTATATAGAAATTGAATTAATTTTTAAAATTTGTTTTGAAAGGGAAAACAATATAATTTGATTTAAGAGTATTATTGTCAGAATAATTTGCAACATGATAATGTAACAAAATAACGCGATAATATATATGAAATTATATAAATAATAATATGTTAGTTTAATAAGTTCAATAGCTCGACAGTGATACGTTAATAGTAACGTTAAGAATATTTATGCAAATCAAAAAGTAGTTAACTAGCTGCTTATTTACACTGCCCTTTAAAATATTAAAGATTAATTTCATTAAGGTATCAGTATTAGCTTTAATCGTAGTTTCAAAAATATCTATTCTTCTAATTTATCTGGCTGCTAATAACATGAATAGAAAAACATGTTATTAAGTTGATTAAGAATTACATTGTCATTTAACTTTGAACTGAATTATAAATGAGACACACAGGTAGGAGATACAAAAATATAACAATGTTTTTTTTTATATAAGTATATATATGTATAGATGTATATATTAATACATTTATAATATATATTTATAATATATTAATGACTGAAAACGCTCAAGACTATGATGCATGAAGACAGCATTATAATTTTGAGCGAAACTGCATTTTTATTCCTAAATAATTTCTCGCAAAATTATACGATGCGACCTGACATCTGTAAGCGAAATATCGGACAACAATAAATAATGTGTATTATTCTTGACACAATTTGCAACGTCTTGACTTGATTGCAATTGCATCTGAAGGTACTCTGACAAAGCTACGAAAGATGATAACAATCTTATGCGAATTTATGTAACTTCCGCGATTTTAGCGGATATTGACGACGGAATCATTGACGACGGAAATAATTTATCTATTGCTTATGATATTTGTCTCTGTGTTCGACAATAATTACTATCATCACGCATATTATTTGTTCTCTCTAAAGGCGCCACGATTTGGAATTCTGCGCAATGCGTTATCAGGAAGACACCTAGTGTATAATAAATATTCAGTGAAGTCGAGATATATATCTATAAAGAAATCCATGCGACAGAGATTTGCAATGAAATATCTAAATATTGAAAGTGCAAAAAAATTATTGCATTTTGCGCAACGAATTAGATATTATTTTGACTAAAGGTCTCGTCAGTTTAATTTTAATCGATTAAGGACGAACATGAGGGAGGGAAATACTGAGTCTAACAATTCTTCAAATTGCACTTCAATTCCTTCATCTGAGTTCTTGGCTTGCTTATCCTCTATAAGTGCGACGTATATATTGGCGTCTATAAATAAATTATCGTATATCTCTAATTACACTACCCGTCGCACACACATATTTATGTATTTAATTAAGAGGTTAACAAATATGTAGAATATTATATAACATATATGTGTGTATATATATGTAGAAAGTGTATACGGAAGAAATTTGTTCTTTTGAAATGGAGAGAGCTCTGGCGCAATGTATAAAGAGTTGAATTCAAATTTACATCTTTCTTGCAACTAAAAAAAAAAAAAAAGGTGACCGTATATATTAAAAATTAAAAATAACAAATAAAATTATCTACGCCGATTTTACGTTGAGGTGAAGAAACGTCAGGATCTCTAGAAGAGAAAAAAAAATCATAAAATGGACTTGTCGCTTTTTTCTTGCGCCAAAGCCTTCAATTAGTTTAGTTATTTTATGCTAAACAACGCGCAAGAGTATAATCAACTTTATTACGAAGACTACTACTACTACTACTGAACATTCAGCGATAGTCGATTTATAATAGACGAAGCTACTGAGACTGCAAGAGACGGAGAGAGTGGCGCACCTAATTTTATTATCGTTGCACTCAGTCAACCGTTAATTACTTACTTTCTCTTAAAACGCCTCGCTATTAATGCTATTGTAAAAAATGTGGACGTATAATTGTTTTCCTTTCAATATACATATATATGTATTAGGGTGGTCGTTAAATTGAACATCATGTTGGATGGTCATAAATCAGCTTCAAATGTAGAAAAAATAATTCTCTAATTTTTTCAGATTTTTATTTTCATATTCTTATATCAGTTCATTTATATGTTATTTAAATATTATTTATATTATATTTTTTATAATTTAAAAAAATATTTAATTTATAATTCAGTTCTAGATAAAGTCAGCTGCAAAAGTAGTGAACAAAATTATTTAATTTTTCATAAAAGATAGTCATAAATATTATATGGGCTATTCCGCTATTTATATTACAATATTGAACTATTTTATATTATTTTATACTATATTTTCGGTATTTTCAAATAGTTTCAACTTTTTTTCACTAAAATTTCAAACTATTTACAACAAAAATTGATGACAGAAGCAGCTGTAGAATTGTGGTATTAATAAAATTATTAATAAAATTACATGCCAACAGGGAGACTCAGGACTCAAAATAAAAATCTGAAAAAATTAGAGATTTTTTTTTCTACATTTAGAGCTGGTTTACGACCATCCAACATTAAAATTTTGAAAAAACCTATATAACGACCACCCTAATATGTATATACATATATATATATATATATAGAATACGATATTGACACACTTCCAACAAAGTTAATATTTCCTTCTCTGACTTACGGTCTAATTAACTTACAGCCTGAATTCGGTAATCGCTGCCAACGAACTACGCCGCGTGTCGAATTCGACACATGACAAATATATTGTATAACGACACTTACGTATTATTATTTTTATTATTATTACTGTTGTTATTATCATTATTGTTCTTTCGAAACAGTAACGCAACCACTATGCAAACGCGTGAATACACTTATCTTAAGTCGAGTCCTTCGAGACTCGTCGGTATTTTTTTTGGCACGAATAATCTTTCTTTTTTTTCGTTCATTTTGAGATCACTCTTCCTCATTCTGAGCCGCTTTTGAACTTTTGATTTTTCTTTTTGTTCTTTCAGAGAAGTTTGATTACTTAGTGATTTCATTCCGGGGAGAAGTATAAAGTCGGAATGAAAAGTTTGCGACAAGTGACAGATGTTCTGCGGTCTACAAAGAACAATAAAAATGTACAATACGTTATGAAAAAAATTTAATCAGAAAGAATCTTTTTCATAGATATATATTGCTCGCTCTCGTACACATATATAATAAACATAATTAAAATTATGTGTTTATGTTACACTCAAGAATTTTTTATGGATAAATTTGTTATTGTAAAAATAATATAAGATAAAATAAAATTTAATTTTGCAATCATAAAAATATATAAACGAAACATTTCTGTATTATATAAATACTTTGCATTTATAATCACCTTACGAAAAAAAATACATATAGAAAATTTGAAATAAAATACAAAATAATCTTACAAGATGAAAAATAATCCGTAAAAAATTCTTTAGTGTTACATAAATATATAATTTTAATATTAATAATTTTGTGTATAATAACAAAATATATATTTATGAAAAAGCTACTCTTCGTAGATGGAAGACTTAAAGATACATGGATAAAAAAATATAATTGGCACTCTGATTCACAAGAGGAAGACATGTCTAGGAATTCTTGTAAACGGGATGGTTAACGCGATTTGGAAACTTTCATCCGTTATCAAGTTTTATAGGAAGGACGTGAGAAAACTATTGCTACAATTTCCAAGAGATCAATTGCGCAAGAAGAAGAAAATTCAATAAGAAAACAATGAAAGAATTCTTAATAAAAAAATATTTTCTAATGACATTAAGTAAAGGAAGATTATGTAATTATTTTGTTGCTGAAAGCAGAATTTTGAAATCTAGAACAAAATATTGTGGGACAATAAAAAACACAACAAAGAAAATATATATAAAAAAAGAAACATGTAAAATGAGAAAAATATAATGAAGGAAATCAAAAATACGAAAGTCAAGATAAAAAGAAAAAACCTACAAAAATAAATTTTGAACTGTCAAGTCTTGACCACCTTTTTTAAATGATGGAAAAAATTATGAATAATATAGTTAAATATTAATGTTGTTAATGCACAGTCAGGACAAATAATTATTTTAAGGAAATAAAAAATACGAAAGTCAAGATAAAAAGAAAAAACCTACAAAAATAAATTTTGAACCACCTTATTTAAATGATGGAAAAAATTATGAATAATATAGTTAAATATTAATGTTATTAACGCACAGTCAGGACAAATAATTATTTTTTGTAGTTTGTGCGCTGAAGTTAGTGATAGAGTAATGTCTATCGCGTTAGTGGAACATCGTAGAGAAATATCACACACATATCTTACTCTTACTACCTTGGTATTTCCACACTGTGGAGGAGATATCAAAGCAGTGGCTGCAAATTTGTGCAACAGATACAGCGCTGCCTTCTCACAAGTTTGGACGAAATTCGCTTCGATATCGCGTGCACAGGAACTGCGATGTTGCTCGAGTGTGAAACATATTATCGTGAAGATCAAAACTGTCGACGATTCGATTTTTCAAGATTTTTCTGACTGTTCGTTCCAATAACATTCGTATTTTATATCGATTTAACGATACTGCATTTAATAAACTGTAGATATAATTCAACAGATCAAATACTCGACTTATGTTGATTTCAAAATAAATCGATGAATATTTTGCAATTTAGAACCAGTCGAAAAATTGCAATAGATTCATATGGACTTCATCGTCTTATAATTTTTTCTTTTTCAACTTTTCTACCTCTTTTTTCTTCGATAATGAATACGTTCGAGTTCAAAAACTAAGTCGAGAATAATATAATCTTATTAGAAGTTCCTGTGCACGCAGGTTCGCAGCTAAAAAAGTACTTTCCGCTTATCCTTTGCTCTCTTTTACTTTTCTATAATCAATTTTCAATTACACGTAGTCTGAAATTGTTCAAAAAAATATATAAAACATCTTGTTATCAAAATAAAATATAAATCGGCTATAACGGTGCGCGCGTTTATGTTTGGCAAATACATAGGAAGCATTTCGTCGTTTTCTCTCCTTTCTTTTTCCACACATTATTCTTATTATTTCTCGCAAAAAGGGAATTTATCGATATATTGGCGCTATTCCTTATCACAAAACACGCGTGCATCTCGCAATCTCATTTTTCCGTCCTTGAAAAAATGCATTTTGCGAACGCACACGTCGCATTTAAAACACAATATGGCCGTTCAAAAATCTTCGGCCTTTTTTTCACCAATGTCAGTTGTTGATCCTAGATTAATTCTTATTGTAAATTTATTACACCATTATAATTCTTGCAACGTGAATAATGTTGACGATTAATCTACACGTACATAACAATTATTATTTAACTAAACAAAAATTAAGATATATATTTATATAGTAATAGAAAGTTCAATATTTTTACCTTATTTTATTTTCTCTCTAAATCTTATCTCTAAGAAAAAAAAAAAAAAAAAAAAAAAAAAATTAAGAACTGACATTGGTGGAACTGATTATATAATCTTGTATAGATTGGCGAGATGTAAATGCGAGTTCAAATTTTACCTTCTTGATCGAAGGAAGGAACGGGTCGGTTTTTGTAGTTCTGAAAACAGTCGACAAAATATATCTGTCAAGTGTACAACAATAACATTATGCGGACTCGGTGAAAACTTTCGATGAATCCAGATCGACTCGACGCGCAAGAAGCAACATTTCGTTTCGTCGACTCGATCAGAATTCATTTGCGCCGATCAACGTCAATATACGAAGGTCGTGAGGCCGGGCCGAACGCGTTACAGAGAGATTCATCTGTGACAAGGCTCGTGCGGCTGAATATCGGGCGGCTGGATTGTCTGGTAAGGAAGCTGAGTGTCCCTGAAGTGCGACCTGACGAGCAGACCGAGACCCAGCAGCACAACGGGAAGACCGAGCAAGACGCAGATCAGCTCGCCCGTCACTCCTGGCGACCAGGAGACGGAACCTATTTCAAGGTTCTCTTCAGAAACGGCTCGTAATCGAATTATGCTGAAGCGTGCTTCATTTTCAAGCGTTACAGCCAAACTCGAGAGATATTTACAATGCATGCAATCGTCGTCTTGTGAGACAGCAATAAATGCGTACGAGTTTGCAGAGACCAGAAGCGAGAATTAAAGAAAAATTCAGTCCTTCGATAAAGCAAAATATTTCTGTAGAAATAGACATTTTTTTTCTTAAATTAAATATTAAACAGGGTGTCTAGTGAAAGTTGAAAATGTAATTTCAGGACATTTCAAGGAAATTTGCACGATTTTCCAGTGGTATGATAAATATGTCAAAGAAACTGAAAATTTTATTTTTCTTATCAAGTCGATATATGGTAAATTGCACGTTAATGAAAATTTATTTTTGCGTTACAAATATTCGATGTAGTATTTTTTATATTATATTATATTTGGAACTTTTAAAATCTACACAGAGAAAATTTTTCTTAGAATTTAGCCTGAAAATCATAGTAAGCGTAAAACAATATAATATTGGAAGAATTTTATAAGAGTTTCTCTGATTAATATTTATCGCAATAAAAAATATTAATACTTTTTTATCGTGATAAATATTTAATCAGAGAAATTCTTATAAAATTCCATTCCACAATTACATGATTTATGCGCAACACACATTTTGAATTTCGTAAATAAAAAATATATTATTTATGGAGCAAGATTAAATATTTTTTCCTTGAATTCTCAGCTGACTCTTTTAGCTCAATATTTAGAAGCAACGAAAAAAAAAAAAAATCAAAAAAATCTACGAAAAATTCAAGTACATTTCCAGGATGTTTAAAGGAAAAACAAAATTCCCGAACAAATTTCACGAATTTCAAGAACGGCTAGACACCTTGTTAAATTTCCTAAATATATAAAGATTTCTGCGAAAAATAAATTCCTATTTACTTGTGCAAAAATAATTGGTATCTGCCAATTGCAGTAAAACAAGCTGCAGATCGAAGTTACATTGCTTCGAATTTACTTACCTCCGTGAGAGTCGACGTCCATCCTGTAAATGCTCCACCAGATACCGGACAGCGGAAGTGACACGGTTGCGACGGCCACGCTGAATACCGCGCTCTCGCATAAGGACAGGAAGTTGAGGATTGAGATCGAGAACACAATGTAAGCAAATAGAAAAGTCCATCCGTGGCTGGACACGTTCGAGCACAGTTTGCCGCCTTTGAAATGGCACATCAGTCCCTGTTCCACGGTACGGTACAATTGTACGGGCGACAAACCCTGAAATGACATTAAAAACAAATTATTCGATCGAATAACGAATTGGTCGTGTAAAAGCTAAAATAATAATTTTCGCTTGTTGCATTTTTTTTCTAATCACAATGACATAAACTTGGAATAAATTCAGTGCGAGAAAAAAATTTAACAAGTGTGATTTCAAATTAAAAAAATGTTTATTGAGAAAATCTCGGAGAAAAAATTCGCAAAGCTCAACCTGTCATGTTCAGTCTCTATAAAAAAGTCACACTGAATATTAGCTTGAAAAGTCGACTTTTCTTCGCTTTCTAGATACACAAGTGTGATTTGAAATTAAAAAATTGCTGTGGAAAAAATTTACAAAGCTCGACTTGTCATCATCAGCTGCAATCACACACGTAAGAGACACATTTCTTTTTGCGCCACTCACCCTGCCGATGCCGGGCAGAGTGTCGAGCCAGCAGAAGGTCAAGATGGCAAAGAAAGCGATGACGTGTATGTAAAAGAGGGTTTGCATCACCGGCGGTTTCGGGTAGCTTTTTGGCTTTATCGTGGGATCCGGATCCGTCACGTGCAGCAGTCGACCGCCTTCCTCTTCCGAGCCACGACGACGAATGTCGCGGGAAGACACCAAGCGGGACACCGTGTACAAGAACGAGTTGTGCTGCGTCGTCAACATCTGACACACGTTTTGCTGCTGAAAACCAGAGAGATCGCGGACGTCAGTCGTTGTCCGGAAAACGAAAATCCGCCGAATAAGCAAAAGCGATCCGCTTAAAATTCCGCAACGAAAAGAAAAAAAAAAGATCTCTCAACGATCTCTTTCATTGAAGTCATCATTCACTGAGCGAAGAATATTTTTTGTACGTATGTGGGAATTAAATATTCCTCTTTGTCTAATTAATTTAAATTCTATTTTTTTTTATCTTCGCTGAAAGAGAGAATGAGGATCGCGCGGAATTAAAAATTCTCTCGGGATCAGTTTTAATAAGAGTTACGTCACTATATATATATATATATAGTATCGTTGAAAATCTCACTGATACTGCAAATAAATCTCAATGGTCGAAAAGGTCGACGGTTAAATTACCCCGGTGGTATAATGCCGCTCCAACAAGGTAAAGAACATGGCGAAGGAAGCGAGAGCACCCACGTAAACAAACGTCCAAACTGCTCGGATGCCCCAGGATCCTCTGGTGCCGGCCGTCGTGTGCGAGGAAACTTCCCGTCCACGACAACGAAATTCGTCGCAGAGACCATAATCGACGCTTATAAATAGACCCACTATTATGGTCGTGCTGGAGAATATTCGTTGCAGACTCATCACTGAAAACAGTCGCGGAAAAGATTTTTCTCTCCGTAACTTTTTTTTTATATAACTACATATAAAATACTTAAATTTATTTCGTATTTTATTTTTTTATCTCGTATAAATTCTAAAAGAAAGGATAAATCTAAAATATTTATTCGTGATTTTTCTTCACCCAATTAATTCAGTTTCCCCGAAATAAAATTTCTCTCCCGTAAAGCTATTTCGTTCATTATAGTAATTATATTACAGGCTAACAACAGCTCTATAAGACACTCACTTTTCCGACAGAAGAAGAAGTAGTAGACGAGGGAGAAGACGAGGGTAATGCCTTTTATTGGATCCTGTAAGTGGCACAGTACTCTATTCCGATCGAGAGATAGGGTGACTAGGATGCCCGAAAGGGCATACAGAGTGCTTATTTTGATCAGGCCACAGCGGGGTATCCTGACTCGCAAGCTGTTAGGTATCAGAGGCGGCGGCGGTGACACTCTGTCCGCGACAACGTACACCATCCCCAAGATGCAGGCGGAGCACAGGGCGGTGAAGAGGAGTCCTGCGAACCGTCGCAGAATTAAGAAACATTTTTTAAAACTGAAATTATTTTAAATAAAATTGATTGAAAAAAATTAATTTATTTTATTTCCTATAGAAAATCTAAAAAAAAAAAAGAATAAATGATATAAGTATATCTAAAAATATTCATTCTCATTTTGAAGGCGGTGAACAGGAGTCCTGCGAACCGTCGCAGAATTAAGAAATTTTTTTGTTAAAACTGAAATTATTTAAAAAAAAATTGATTGAAAAAATCAATTTAAATTAATTTATTTTATTTCCTATAAAAAATCTAAAGAAAAAGAATAAATGATATACGCATATCTAAAAATATTCATTCTCATTTTGAAGGCGGTGAACAGGAGTCCTGCAAACCGTCGCAGAATTAAGAAATTTTTTTGTTAAAACTGAAATTATTTAAAAAAAAATTGATTGAAAAAATCAATTTAAATTAATTTATTTTATTTCCTATAAAAAATCTAAAGAAAAAGAATAAACGATATACGCATATCTAAAAATATTCATTCTCATTTTGAAGGCGGTGAACAGGAGTCCTGCGAACCGTCGCAGAATTAAGAAATTTTTTTGTTAAAACTGAAATTATTTTAAAAAAATTGATTGAAAAAATCAATTTAAATTAATTTATTTTATTTCCTATAAAAAATCTAAAGAAAAAAAATAAATGATATACACATATCTAAAAATATTCATTCTCATTTTGAAGGCGGTGAACAGGAGTCCTGCGAACCGTCGCAGAATTAAGAAATTTTTTTGTTAAAACTGAAATTATTTAAAAAAAAATTGATTGAAAAAATCAATTTAAATTAATTTATTTTATTTCCTATAAAAAATCTAAAGAAAAAGAATAAATGATATACGCATATCTAAAAATATTCATTCTCATTTTGAAGGCGGTGAACAGGAGTCCTGCGAACCGTCGCAGAATTAAGAAATTTTTTTGTTAAAACTGAAATTATTTTAAAAAAATTGATTGAAAAAATCAATTTAAATTAATTTATTTTATTTCCTATAAAAAATCTAAAGAAAAAAAATAAATAATATACACATATCTAAAAATATTCATTCTCATTTTGAAGGCGGTGAACAGGAGTCCTGCGAACCGTCGCAGAATTAAGAAATTTTTTTGTTAAAACTGAAATTATTTTAAAAAAATTGATTGAAAAAATCAATTTAAATTAATTTATTTTATTTCCTATAAAAATCTAAAAAAAAAGAATAAATAATATAAGTATATCTAAAAATATTCATTCTCATTTTGAAGGCGGTGAACAGGAGTCCTGCGAACCGTCGCAGAATTAAGAAATTTTTTTGTTAAAACTGAAATTATTTTAAAAAATTGATTGAAAAAATCAATTTAAATTAATTTATTTTATTTCCTATAGAAAATCTAAAAAAAAAGAATAAATGATATAAGTATATCTAAAAATATTTATTCTCATTTTGAAGGCGGTGAAGAAGAGTCCTGCGAACCGTCGCAGAATTAAGAAACATTTTTTTAAAACTAAAATTATTTTAAATAAAATTGATTGAAAAAAATCAATTTAAATTAATTTATTTTATTTCCTATAAAAATCTAAAGAAAAAGAATAAATGATATACGTATATCTAAAAATATTCATTCTCATTTTGAAGGCGGTGAACAGGAGTCCTGCGAACCGTCGCAGAATTAAGAAATTTTTTTGTTAAAACTGAAATTATTTTTAAAAAAATTGATTGAAAAAATCAATTTAAATTAATTTATTTTATTTCCTATAAAAAATCTAAAGAAAAAGAATAAATAATATACACATATCTAAAAATATTCATTCTCATTTTGAAGGCGGTGAAGAGGAGTCCTGCGAATCGTCGCGGAATTAAGAAACATTTTTTTAAAACTGAAATTATTTTAAATAAAATTGATTGAAAAAAATCAATTTAAATTAATTTATTTTATTTCCTATAAAAAATTCTAAAGAAAAAGAATAAATGATATACGTGTATCTAAAAATATTCATTCTCGTTTTTCTACCTTTACTTAATTTTCTGTGAAATAAAATTTCTTTCACGAGAAATTATTAAATTAATTTAAATTGAAACTTAATTGATGAACATGTTTTAATGAACGTTTAAAAAACGACACTATTTCGTTTATGGAATAAATATTTCCATCCACGTGTTTCAGCCAAATGTCAAACGTGAGAGGAAAATTAAATCTAAGAAGATCCGAAAAGGTCAATTTGAATATTTTCTTTTATGATTGTTATTACATATTGATATGGAAAATATCTTCCGCTTGAAGAATCAGGCATCAGTATGGAGAGCTCAGTCGAGTGTTTCGCATAAATAAATTACTTTTTTTCCTAGAGATAACTTACGCAAATCGGACGTCGAGCCCGTAATTTTGGAAATGGACGAATAAGACTCAATGAAAAAAATTCCCTGACTTTTTAGTATTATTTTTTCCAAATATGTAATTTGCATATATCTATATAATAAATCAATTCAATGTTAAATCATGTGAAATAACGTTGAATCATGAAATAAAAAATTTCAATTACCGAGACAAATTAAGAATGCGAAAAAATCCAGATAAATAATAGAATTTCCCGACTTTTTTCCCTGACAATTCCAGATTTATAAAATTCCCTGATGCCCGATTTTCCAGATCTCCCTGACCGCTAGACACCTTGATAAATAGCCATAAATCATTTTAGCGCATAATAATCGCGAGATGTTCTCTCGAATCCCGGAATTACGAGGAGCCTCTCAACGATCGATCGGTCAATTCTGATCAATTCATGCATGTATGCCGTACCTATTTTAAGCACGTGTACATATATATATATATATATATATATATATATATACAATACACACACATACATACGTATGTGTATTTACATGTTTATGTATATCTATACCTGTGTAAGCGCTGGAGACGGCAGCGACGCTCTCGAGATAAAGCGGATACGTGATAACGAGGACGGTAACTGATATCGCGACGGACACGAGGGTGGCCAGGAAGCGGAGCCTCTGCCAGTTCTCGCGATCGGTATCGAACAGCTTATCGCCTCCGGCCTGATAAGCGACATATGGCGACTCCTCGGTGTCGGTGTACTCCTCGATCTCGACGTCGCTTCCGGTGCAACGGAGCTCCTCCTGCTCCTCGTCGTCCATCATCGTCGACACGCAGCTCGTTAGGCTCGCCAGCTTGACGGCTTTCTCGTTATTCTGGCGAAACGAGGGCGAACTTACTTACAATTAGTGTAATCTTCATTTTTTATTCTCATAATATTTAAAATATTTTATTTTTATATTTAATTTATTTAATTTTTAATAACTAATACATAGCTTATTATATATATAATTAATATATATATATTTATTATTATTATTATTGTTATTAATATATATATAATATTTACGATAACACATTTGTAGCCTAAAATTTTAGCCATCGATGGATTTTGCCTTGATTTCGTTGTATCTTTATTTAATGCAAGTGACATCTATTTTCAACTAATTGTAAGTTATAAATTATGATATAAAAATAATCGTTTTAATCCGCTATTTTAAATAAAATAATTTGCTATATTGAGATCAACAAATCAAGTAATTTCTTATTATGTTTTTAAATGTAAAATAAATCTAATAATTCCATTCTATTTTTAAATTACTGATATTATGAGCTGAGAATTAGACGGTCGCATTTAAGTCTGACTGTATTCATAACGTTTTGAATAAGGAATCCAGCTTTGAATTGAATATATGGCAACCACAGAAAGTGTGTGATATATGGCACACGAGTAATGAAAGGACTAACTTTCACAATTTCGGAGAACAGTTTTAATGAAAAAGAAAAAGATTCGATCAATTTCTTAACTGCGTCTAACTTAAAAAATATATATTTAAAAAACATGGATAATTTATTTTATATTTCAAACAACAATTGCTTTTGCCTTTACTCGAATTACATTTATTCATTATACTGTAATGTTACATATGTATCTATATTTATTTTTATTAAAGTAAAATATTTTTCGCACCTGATAAAATTAATTTCTAGTTACGATCCTGAAACGCGGAATTTCGCGAACCTCGCCCTTTTCGTGGATTCTAATGGATATCTACGTGTCAATGAACGACCGAGAGATAAAGACTCTGTTTGCTTTTAATATTACACTGTAAATGCATTCTATATATTTTGTGACACGATAGAAAAAAATATATTTATGCGAAACATTATATTTTTTGTAAAAATATTATTGTGCAAATAAAATATATGGCTTATCAAATATTTTTTTTTCATCGATTAGTATTCTAACGAATAATCGGAAGCGAGTATTAAGTAAGCATAAATAACAAAATATCAATATTTGTAATGTTAATTAAATTATAATTATTTCATGATTTAATAATGAAGTACCGTAACGTAATAATTATAAAAGATATTACACACAGTTTTCATAACTTGATTTAATTAATGTTAACATTATTAAATAAATATAAATAACCCGATTTTTAATCATGAACAGCATAAATACGACAGAATTTATCTTATTCACATATTTCACTTGATAATTAAAAAAATGACCAAGTTTTCATTGATAACTAAAGAGATTTTCCGGAAAAAATCTCGTTATTGTGGACCACACTGATACAAAGAGAACGAAAAAAAAAAAAAAAACCGGACACAAAAAATATGCACTGCTCCGAAAAAAGCGCCACATAAACAAAGCAGCACCTGTCATCGGGTAAGACGTAGAATCTCTCCTATATACCAAGATCGCTTATCAGCATATACACAGAATTATCTGTCAACGATATGTCAAACATTGCTGTCACCTTCCGAGAAAAACGAACGATCGATCGAGCAGAGCAGCGCAAAAAAAAAAAAGTAATTCGCGTTGTTTAAAAATTCACGCTTGTGCAGGAAAAATATCTCGGACTCACCCTTAACGAGGGAACCTAACCTGACACCGCCCACCCTCGGGAGAAACTCTTTCCCCGGCTATCCTGGAACGTCGTGTCTCCTCCGCGAGATAGTCGGCCACGTTGACGCGCGATGATGACGGATGACGATGACGACACCGCGGCACGCGTTAATCGCGAGTGATCGCGAGCACTGAGTCGCGCGATAAGGCAAGCTAGCAGAAGCCGCGACTTCATCCCATTGTTAATGACGAGGACAGCGCCTCTTTGTGCTGCGGCCTCTGCCGCCAGTCTGTCGCCAGGACCGTACTTCGCGAGCGGAAAAAGCAATCGATTAATTTTGTCGACCCTTACTCGCGTCGAATTTTTCACGTGGTCGGAAATATATTTGTAAAAATTAATTTTAAAAATGTTTTTTCATAATTAAATATTGTAATGTAATATCGAGTATTTTTGCAACGGGAAAACAATCGGTTAATTTTTTCGACCCTTACTCGTCGAATTTTTCACCGTAGAATCGGAAATATATTTTAAAAAATGTTTTTTATAATTAAATGTTGTAATGTAATATCGAGCATCTTTGCAACGTCAATACTAGTCCTAGAATAATCCAATATAATCTGGTCAATAAAAAATAATTCACATACCCCATCGGAAAAAGCAATCGATTAATTTTGTCGATCCTTCCTCGTCGAATTTTTCACCGTAGAGTCGGAAATATATATTATAAAAATTAATTTAAAAAATGTCTCTTTATAATAAATAAATATTGTGATGTAATATCAAGTGTTTTTGCAACGTCAATACTGGTTCTAGAATAATTCAATATAATCTAGTCAATAATAATTCATACACACACAACATTATTAATGTGATTATTATTAATTGAAGACTAAATGTATATTAATATTATTAAATATTCAAGACTAAATATAGTCTTGGAGAAACTATAAGATTAATCGATTAAATGTATACATTTCTCCTATAGGAGATAAATATAAATATAAAACTAAGGCTGCTAAGTAGTAACAGACGTCATAAGTCAGACACGTCTGTTTATATATATATATATATATAATATTATACGTCGCATTAAGTAAATATGTATGCACACATTTGCATATGGTACGTGCCATATTCGTTGTTCTTATCAAGCTTCTGCATCATTGAGTAATTTTATATTATGCAATAAAAAAATATGCAAAATAATCGCTTGTTTAGTTACGTAAGTAGATAAAGAATTAAATAGCCTCAACAACATCGGTTTAATCACGTACTTTTACAAATTATTAGCTTAGAATAATTCAATATATATTTCAATCATATTATTTAAGATTTATTATTCACCATAATCTGATAAATATATAATTATTTAATATTAAAATTCTAATTATTATTAATTTTTAATATTCAAGACTAAATCTAGTCTTCGAAGGATAATAATTAAATTAGCAGGAAATCGTATTTCCTGTTAAATAGAATAAATGTGAATCTAATAAAGATGCAGCAGAAACAAACGTCAAAATTAGACTCACCTATATATAAATGTATAATAATAAGTTGCATTAAATAAATATGTACGCGCACATTTGCATATGGTACACGTGTCACATTCTTTCTTATCTTGCCATTAATATCATTGAGTAATTTTACACTGCGTAACAAAAATAAAATATGCAAATAGTAGCTTATTTAGTTACGTCAAAGTCAGATATATCTGTATTATATATAATACGTTGTAATAAATAAATATATGTATGCACAAATACACACACTTGCATACGTCCCATATTCTCTGTCCTTATCAAGTCTGTTATATTTTCGAGTGATTTTACACTGTGTAGTAAAAAAAAAATACAAATAATCTTGCTTAGTTACGTAAGCAGATAAAGTCCACCCACGTGCAAGCTCAGCAGTATAATGGATATATGTTGAACCGTTAACAGAAGGAAGAGAGAATAAATGTCCCTGCAGAGATCCTATCAAATATTCGGAATAGATTACTCGCGATCATTTGCCGCAAAATTCACTTTTCAACATTAAATACCCGGGATAATTAAGCTCGAAATAAAATTTCTCTCAATGTAACGTTCGTGTCAAATTACGCTTAATTGCACATTGAAATCTGAAAAATCGATCTCGTCGGAAAAATGAAATAAAAATTCATTAAATATTTTTAATCTTATAAAAAAGATTAAATCGCGAGAAATATTTAATCGACATTTTAAAATGTTGATTTTATATAAATTTTCTTAACGTTATGATATAATGTTTTATAAATATTTTAAAAATATTATTTAATAACATATTGCTCTCAAAATATTAATAAAATATTTAAAAAATGTTATTTTCGAAAAAATTGATGTCAAAGTTGCATACAATGTTAAAAACTACATACTTGACAACTATAATAACGTTATAGCAAAGATTTTTTGCTTCCTGGGATAGATCTTTTTTCTCACGATATACAAAATTAGAGAGTAATTTAAAAAAATGAAAAAAAAATTAAAAAGAGATGACGATGTGCCTCTTGCAATATGTACGGTCTTGATTTTGCGCATGAGCATAAGATAATATATACATATATGTGCAACACAAGTCACGCTCTCTGAATTAATTTAGAAAATTCTGAATTATTCGTCGTGAATATATTGAGAGCAACGCAACATCGACTAGAATGCATTAAATCATTCCCTTAATCCCATAATGTAATGGACATCGCGCGAATCATCATTAATCATCATTACTTTGTGCGAGCATCATAATCGAACATCGTGCTAATTGAAAACTAAAAGTTTTTGACATATGTAACATCGTATGGCTGATCGAAAATTGTATATATATATTCAGAGATAAAAATATTCAGAGAAAACTTTGAAAAAAAAATAGCCGGATCAGCAAACTGTGAAAGAGATAAATATCCGTTTACAAGAAAGGATGTAGTGTTTTTAGATTAAAAAAAAATAAAACAAAAAATTTTATGCGTTTGACAATTCTTGAAAAATTCCGAAAAATTGTGTTTTGAGAAAAGATCTTTTTTTTTCGCGAATTCTTCATTTCGCATACAATTATAAACCACTAAAATTTACATGGAACTAGGGTATAGGCCAAGTGGTGGCTACAAGAAGTTGAAGTTTCGGAAAATTGCGAAGTAGACTGATTTTTATTCTGTCCACACAACAATGGCATTATGCGTTTCTCAATGGCGCATTTAAACTCGAGTCTGGCAATGTTGAATGAAGAAGAAACGTAGTATTAAAAGAATAGCGAGAGGATGAGAGAAGGGAAAAATGTGCGAAAGGGAGAGAAAAAAAACGATAAAGGAAAAAGAATCAGTATTCTAAAAAGAGCTATTATTTCGAGCGGAGAGTTTAATCGCGTGAATTGGGATAATAGTGCTATAAATCTAAGAGAAGACCGTGTAAAATCTGCATATAAATCCTACATTACTCTAAACGCAGCTATAAATACAATAACAATGATACATTGCGTCGATATTATGCGAATAATGCATTAAATATCTGCATTATACATCAGTATATATTTAGCATCGTTTTCGAATCTAATGAGAGAGAGAGAGAGAGAGAATTTGATAGACAATGTACAGGGTATTTTATTGCCAGACACCCTGTTAATAGGGAAATTCCTCAGGTTATTTGGAGACGATTTTTCCTCAGCAAAAATGTCGAGGCACCAATAATTTTCGAGTTATAAGCGATTCAAAATAAAGAGTTTTTCACAAACTAAGTGGAAATAAAATATTAATAAAATCACATTTTTTAATTAATTTCAGCTAGAGTTTACTTTAGTAGAATTTTAATTTAACATGGTGTTCAGCAGACTCAATGAAAAAAATTCCTTGATTTTTTCAGATTTTTCAAGACCAGAAATTAATGTTTTCCCTGACTTTTTATTTTTTCCAAATATATAATTTGCATATATCTATGATAAATTAATTAAATGTTAAATCATGAAATTCTTGAGATATTTTTGTCAACGATGAAAAGGTTCGAAAGTTAAAAAAACAAAAATTTTAATTAATTATACAATCTGCATTATGTACGATAATCGAAACATAACATGTCACTATAAATACGTTCAAATAAGTCATTTATTTAAAATAAATATTTAGTTGATATAAAAATACTTATTTGATATAAGAAAATCCTTTTCAAAACAAATAAATTATTTATTTGAACTAAATTTTTATTAATTTGACAAACTTTTTTCAGTGTACATGATGATAAAAATGGAGAACATGCAAAAAATGATGACCTTTCTCGCCAAGCAAAATTGTCTCCAAATAATCTTAAGAATCTCTCTGTTAACAGAAATAATTTTGTCCGATAATTTTGGGACACTCTATATATATACATACATATATACAGTACAATCATATAACAGCTCTCCATGGCCTGGTAATTGCTATTGTTTGCGACTAACGGAATTGGTTGATTGAACCGACACTTGGATAATCGAAGTCTGGCTGACAAGTTAGCGAAAGCCCATCAACCGATCTCGATATAATGCCCGTATATAATTGTATTCCTATCAAAGGACGACGGAAATCGGAAGCAAAACGGACCACGAGGCTATTCAACCAAATTAAAGGGTGTCTCGTACACAATTCGATTACATTTTCATTGAAAGGAAAAAAAAATACCGGAGTAAATTGAGATATAAAGCTAATTTATAAGTGTTTCGCTAACTCTTTGTTAAGAGATCCCTTTCGTCGGCGATTCCAATATCGCGAGATGCTCTTTCTTTACTTGATCCTGTGATGGAAAATTTAAAAAAAAAAAAAAAAAAACCAATTTTTTTTCTTGAGCGAATCCTCTCTAAGAAGTGAAAACCGGACGACTTTAAACTTTGAAATGAGATGCGAATTCTTTTGCGCATCCCAGGCGACTCTTGATGATCGCGTTCATGCTGCATTTATCAAAGGCCAAGTATACCCAGACCTTTTCAGCTTTAATGAAATAAACATATTGTCCCTCTGTCTCGAAATGTCGAGAGAGATTTTAATCAACTGATGTGTATTTCTTCCGAAACTTTGCAATCTTGAAAAATAAATCGCGACTTAAAATTATCATAAATTTCATT